CCCAAACGCTTTATTTTGATGTTAGCTATCACCCCTCAGCTAATGTCCAATTAATTACGGGACACCCTGTATACATCTGGATTCGGATTCTGTGATTTTTTTTTAATATCTCAAAAACACGTAGCGATAGCTTCACAAATCTTGAAACAATATTCCTAAATTTACTACTCACAGAACTATGCTAGAGATTTTACATTTCGAAATACCAGTGTCGTAGATATGGGGGTGTGGGGTCAGACCCTTTCTTCTAGGCATAATTTTCTTATTATTATTATTTTTTTACAGTACAATGCATCAAAAGAACTTTCATTCATAGATTAACTTAAAAATATGACTAAATCTTAAGGAGGTTAATATACTTACAAAAACATTAATAGGTAAAAATATTTTTAAACATAAGAAATATGTAAACTGTTATAACTGTTGGCATTATGGGTAAAACTAAAACATTTTAATAATTAAAAAATATTGTTTATTCACTTATTCAAATATCACATCTAGTCTGTGTCAAATCAGATTAAAAACTAATAGTCCAGTCACTAAGTAATTCTAAGCAAAAAATATAAGAATTTTTTGTACAGTCAATACTTTTTAAGTTATTTTTAGCCCAAAAAATGCGTTTTTGAGCCATTTTTCGCGAATATCTCAAAAACTACAAGTTTTATCAAAAAAATTATCATAAGCAATAATGAAGGTAATTAAATAGCAAAGAGTTGCTTTTTTTATTTTTGTAAGTGGTATAGGCCTGAATTATAACTCCCAGAAGTTGAAGTCGATTTCGAAGATAGTTATAATCGAAACGTTCAACGTCCTGTAGCGAAAAAATTAAAGTTTTTTCGAGGAAAACTTATATAACACTAACTTATTCAAGTTCTTGAAAAGACCTTTAAATTGAGTGGTGGAAAAATTCTTTAACATGAAAACTAATGAAGTTATAATCAAAATAAAATGATTATCTCGATTTTTGAGAAAAAAAATCGGTATTAAAATTAATGACTTGACGGAAAAAAAATTAAACGTATTCCTTCTGCAATTTACTTTATTTATGTATTAACAGTAGATTCTGGGAATTTGAACGATTTTAGAAGCCTAAATTTTAAAAAATATATCATTTACTCTTGAATAAAATTTTTAAATTTTTAAAAAATCGCCTTTTTTAAATATTTCAAAAATTAACAAAGCTATAAAAAAATTATAGAGTAAGAAATTGTAGGTTTTTTCTTACTGAACAATTTGCTTTGTTTTAAATTTTTGTAGGACAAAATTTGACTGAGTTATGACCGTTAGAAGCTCAAAACTAAGCTCCAAGACTGCCTTTCCTGAGCCCTTTTAGCTTACAAATCTAAAAAACGAAGGGCTCAAAAAAACTGCAAATCGCGGAACTTAAAGTGCTTTAAATTCCCTACAAAATGTTTTTTTTTTGAGTAAATTTGTAACTTTAAAATTACAAAAGTTATGGTAAAAAAATGAATCGCATTTTTCGGTAAAATTTTAGGAGCGGGTAAATTACCATCATCTTTGTGTATTTTGGAGCACTTGTGAACACTGATTTGAATAAGTATTTTAATAATATACATACACACACGTATCCGAGTGTATTCACATGTATATGTGTACATTTGGAAATTGGCACCAAGCGAGAAATTTTTAGGAAATTTTTCTGTAAAGGGTAGGGTTTTTTATGAGGGGTAGGTCTTCCATAAGGGTTTTTTGGGTGGCTGAAAAGTTGCAATATATCATAGATCATATTTGAAAATCAATAAAAAGTTTATAATTTAACATATACATACCATTAAAACATCTCAAGTTTCAATAATATTTATTTGTTTATTTTATTATAACGGATGGTTGCAACTTTGTAATGAATCGTAAGCTTTCTAATGAATAACAAAATAAATGTAATACATTGCGAATGTACCAAAAGAATATTTTAAACTATTAAAACTTTTTCTTTCAATTTTTTTGGCCATGGAAGGATTTTTAAGGGTTGAAAAGTAATTAAATTTTATAAATTATATTAAAAAACATGAAAGGAACTTTATCCAACATATTTGAACATGAATTCAATCTTTAAAAGTTTACAAAATAATAATTTCTAACTCATAAGGAAAACGATTGTAGAAAATAATTACTTAACAGTTGTCCTAAGTGTTCCGCGAAAATACCTGTTCAACATTTACAAAGGTCACAGGCGCATGTCTAAAATAGTCGTAGTTTTAATAGATACTATTTTTACTAATGGTGGCGAAGCATCAACTACTTTACACTTTAGTAATCCCTGCGTTATTGTACAATAACATGTACATGTCTGCCTCTGATCTGAATCTCCGCATCGATCACTTTATTCGATACGGATCTAGCGTAACCCTAATGCCTGCTTTGTCGGCCTCGCGTGAATGAGCGAGTTTGACGCTTTGGTTGGTCGAGTGTGTGGCACATGTTTTTATGTCAGTCAGTAGAAATGTACCTCTGTATCATGAGCATAGAGCGGTACACGGCTTGATCATAAATTTATCCCATTTCTGCTACTACAACGCCTATTGCCACTCACTAGCGCAATATAGATTACTACTGGTTATTTCGTCGCCGATGTCTACAAATAAATTTGCGTTTCTGACTCAGGCAGAGCAGCGCGAGACAAAGAACGCATTCGGCTAAAACGAATAAGACATAGGCGCGGCGATTTGGGATAGCGGATTTACAAATACACTTGTGAAGTGTTTCTCTCACAGTGTCTAATAAGACACAAACTTATTGGTGTCGGTTCGTAGTTCTAAAACAATATTACATCTTTTTACTTATTTTTACAGACACTTGCTAAAATTATCAGTAACGGACTAGAACTAAAAATTAAACAAATATTTAAGGTTATTTTAAACTTGGGGAATTTTGACAGTATCTATATATTTTATTAATTTACTACTAGTTTTATTTTTCTCAAAATTGATATTCTACAAAACTGTACCTCTTCCGTAATATCCTTTTGATATCTAGTTGAAAGTACAAAAACTTAATAATTTTTTTAATGGAAGTGAAATGTTTTCCATTAAAACATATTTAACTGAATTTTGACCTTCGCAATCCTGCATGTTTCGTGTCCCTTTGATTAAAAAACACTCTGTATAATATTACTTTACATATATCTTAGATAATAGATGATTGTAGTATTTTGGAGTAATCTCTAGTTTTGTACTTACTAGTTTGCTAGTATCTACTAATCGTTAAAGTATACCAAATAGAATTGCTTTGGGAAAAAATTAACATATTTTATTTTTCAAGGTTTTTTATCTTATGGCTTTTACAACATGAATGGTCAGCATGTTATATAAAGGTAATGATTTTATCATAATTTACGTTCTACTTTCGTACTATTACTTTATTATTTTATTTATTTTTCAAGATTGACCAGAATAAGAAAAAAAAACACATTCGTCTTTCATTCTAATATAATTAAATTAAATAAACCACTAAATGATTCGTTATTATCATTACCTGCCTCAGTAAATTTTCCTGTAATTTAAATTAAATTAACATTTATGAATGTTAAAAAAATCATATGGTACCTACTTACAAACAAACCTTTGCTTTTCAATTTAAGTAAATATTTTATTTCAAAAGTAAAACGAGCTGGTTTTGTCTCGGGTTTTGTTGTACATACATTATTTATACTGCAGGGACTGTTCGATCCTCATTTTCTTTGAGACGAACTAAAATTGCTGTTCAGCCGACTATCAGATATTTTCTAGTTGAGAAAACACAAAAGAGATCTTTCCTACGTTCTCAAATTGATATAAACTTGAGAAGGGGAACAATTTTTATTATCCTTTCCTCCCGTCCTTTCCACAACTTAGCGCATCTAAGTGTAACGACTTTAAAGAAAAAGATAAACTATTATTATATGGTAAACGATTCGGAAAATAAATCTCGACCAGGTATGTAATCATCCTACTTCTAAAAGTTATTTATGGTACCTTTTATTTGTACACTTTTTATAGTCATAACTCTGCATGAATTGCAAACCTGTCCTAATATTTCCATCAACCTAACGAACCTAACGCGCTAACTGTTTGCATGCGTGCATGTTGCGAATAATTGTTTTATGCTGGTGTCTTTTAATTTCGCAATTAACTAACGTAACTGATTTCTTATTCTAAATTTATGTGACGTCTCCCTAGCTACTTGTAAGGTAAAATGGGATAGATACAGATGCCTTAAAATGAATTCTTAATTATCCTGAAACCAATACTTTCAATAAGTTTCATGAAGTTTTAAAGTAAAACGACAATTTTTTGGTTATGAACCTTTAAGTTTTACTTTAGTTTTAATATTTTATCTAGAGTTAAAATTCACGTTAAAAATATATGTATAATTATTTTTCTGAAAGTGTTAGCTTCATTTTTTACATTGTTTTCCATGATATATTATTACTAATAACCTTTTTTTTTATTTCTACTACATTTTGTCGATTTTAAGTCTTCAATTTCTTTACTAATTAGCTAATTGTAACAATCGTTACATACATGCTGTTTTCTAAGTTGAGAGATTCTTCTTTCGATCATTTTTAGACCAAAAATCTTCAATCAACTAAGGGCGTAGTATGAGATATACATGCTATATTTGTTTCTTTTGAAACATAATATTATCTTATTGCTGCGGGGTGCCTTCTTTCTAATATGTCAAATTAAAACAGGTGATAAAAATGTTGAGTAAAGAAAATTGTATCTACGAACATAAAAACTGTTAATAAATAGGATACGATGAAATTTACATTGTAAAGTGATTTTTAAGATCAAATCCCCTTCATCTGTTTCGATTTGGCAGATTAAAACCAAAACCAATTGTTAAACAAGTATTCATTTTTCAACAGTGAATTTTAAAAGGCGAGGTGATATAAGTCAAACGAATGTACTAAATTCTTCTAATTCTGCAGCACTGCCAAAAGCATAAGTCAGAGTGTATAAAAAATGTAATTTTTATTAAAGACCAAATAAATTTTACAGATACCAAACTCAAACTCAGCAAAAGAAAAATCTCAGTATCCATGGATTCTCTCTTCATATAACAGTGACCCGGAATTGAACTACCCGGACTCTTTGGACAGAAACGAAAACGACTCCGTTCAACATACAGTCACTGAAAACTCGGGGAGTCACCGTTTCCAAACCGCCAACACCTTTCTTTGGAATGCTGGCGGTACTCTTAATAATGAATTTTATGACAGTATTGATTCTAATATGGCTTCCAGCTTGTACCATCCCAATGGCGAGGAACTCGCTGAATGTGACTCTTTAGAAAGACATTTATCTGATATTTCTGATAAGAAGTAAGTTTTGATTTATTCGTTTGAAGTTTCCATTATATTTTTTTTATTGATTTGACCATTTTTTAAATTTACATTTCATTCTTTTACTGCAAGTTCCCTACAAGTTCCTAAAACAATATTAACGGAGTTACATGACCCCAAAGGTTTTTTTTATTAATATTAATATTTAGATCTTTACAATTTTGAGGATTTTTTTTTTCTTGTACGTGCAATTTGTTACCAATAACAAGTGTACCAAATTAGAAGAAAATTAGTCTAAATAAAAAAGCTATGCCCAAATATTAATTGAAAGGAAATAACTTTAAGGTGCCGTTTATATTGAACTTTCGATAAAAGTTAAAAGAACTTGTAGTGTTATTTTAGACGAATTTCGATACCCTATATATTATTCTCTTTGCGTTTATTAATGATTTTAGCAATTCTTTTTGATAAGAATATATTTTATAATTTCTTCCATATTTTTCTGTATTCGCCTTGAACTCTGCATTCAAGGAAAAAAACCTGTAAGAATAATAGTTCTAAGAAACTATTTAAATTTTTTAATACCTACGTTGCAAAAGCAATTAAATATATCATATTACTAATAACAAGAGTACTTATATAAGCTTGACATATTTTTTTAGACCTATATTTCTGTAACCCAATGCCCAATTATTATCCCAACTCAGGTATTAAAGAATATGGAAAGTTTCATACTTTAATCTTTACACTTTTTTGACATGTCGAAATATAATCGTGTCTATTTATGATGGACATGTTTTTACCTTATAATTAAAAAATGAAGGAATATGTTTGATAGAAAAATGGTCGAATTCCACCTCCCTTGAAGTTTGATACTGTAATTTTACAGTTTGCTATAATTTAATAAAAATTGCCTTTAAGAAAATTGAATACTTATATTGATTTTACTGACCTCTTTCTTTTATCATAGAAATGCATTTTTAAATATACGCGATTCGGCATATTATTTTTTAATATTATATAATTTTTCAAAACTTGATAATTAAATTAATTACTTAATACAAGTTGTGTGTTTTAATTTTATTTCTCTGTAATTATTGTTTTAGTTGCCGTGCAATATTGATTACATCTCCAAATTTTAGCCTATTTCATGTTGCTAAACATATTATATTCATACATTATTGGCAATATTACCACCACTTAAAATGTAGATTTTACTTACTTAATTTAAATGGTCAAAAATTAAAATGTATCACATCATTGATTAGCCAGTCATCTATATAAATTTGAAGTCTTACATTTGCTAATATGGCTAATGTACTAAAAAAATAATTAGTTTGATGACATATTAAAAAACTTGGTTGTGCAATTTATAGGCGTAAATAAAAATTTGTTTTTGTTTAAAAAATTTGTGTTACAAAATAAAAAAATTTTTACTTGATTTAATGTAGCCACGATATAAAATTGAGAGTAGCTACTATTATCATCTTGTTCTTAAATGCAATTTTTACAAAACATTCCAAACACCTTTTGGAAAACTGTAGCATCACAGTTGAAGCTCAAGTACGTTATTCAAGAGTAAATTTGACCCCATTCAAATTTTGTATTACTTGAAAAACGTTCTTGAAAAATAATGAACTGAATTTCATTGTTTATTGTATTATTTTGTATATTTACGTAGTGTATTTGAGAAAATAAATGCACCAAGTATTTTTATTATATTGTATGATATTTACTATTTTTTAAGTAATTTCTGTGTATTATGTAGTTTTAAGCAGTGTTATTTTAAATGTGCATTCGAACATTATAAATTATTTATTATCCGTGTATTTTCCAAATAGTGTTGCTCATTGAAAAGTCATTTTTTTCATTTAGTGCATCACTTAGTTATAGAACAAATTTCATAAAAATGTGGTATAGTTTAAAATAAATCCAAACTCGTGGCTTATTTAAAAAGTGTTTTACACAATATTTCTCATTAAAACGCTGTGACCTTATGGTTGGGATTGCAAGCTAATCTTATTTTATTTGCCAAGAATCACCACTAAAGTTTATTTTAACACTATGTATGTATATGTTTACATTGTTTTCTCTATTGGTTACCTTCCAACAGTTTAACCTACAGAAAATTTTCTTACATATTACAATAAGAAACTGCAAAATTATTAATTTAGATGCATGTAAGACTGATATTAATAATTATCAAAATTATTAATTTCATTAGCCTGCAATAAATTTGCCTGCATTATGTATATATTTATTTGTTGAACTGCTCACAATGATTATTTGACCGACGAACTTCTTCAATGTTGTACCGGATACGCCTGCAGCAAATTTTCATTTTTTTGCTAAATATGCCGATAACAAAATAAAATATAACTTGCGCGTCCGGCAAAACGTCGAAAAATGTATGTAGTCGATATATTCATTGAAATATTACAAATTAAAGAATCTATCAATATCTGGAAAATTCAGCAGCGGCCGATTCGACAAAGAAAATTTATTTGTCAGCGGCGCATCCGGCAAAGTATCTAAAACTGGCACATCCGTCATAATATAGAAGATTTTTAGTTTATAACAGGCGCATAAACTTAAATTTATGTTGCCACTGGCACATCTGGCAAAATGAAAATGAAAAATGTATGCGGTATTTACCCGATATTCTGCAAAATATGGAAAACTGGCGCATTGAGCAATACAGATGAAGATGGAGAAGTATATTTCACTGGCGAGTCCAATAAATTAAGGAGGAATATATTTTGTCTTCGACGCATCCGGCAAAATATTTAAAATTGGCGCATCCGTCATAATATAGAAATATAATAAATAATATTGTATCACTGGCGCGTTCGGTAATATTGAAAATTGATTTTGTCACTGACGCATTCGGCAAAATATGGAAAAATGTATAATACCGGCGTATTCAGAATAAAGAAAATGTTTCTGTCACTGGCGCATGCGTTAAATTAATCGAAAATCTCCAGTTAAATCAAATCATTGATAGATGTTAGACAAATAAACATATACATCATTTGGGTAAACAGTGTTCCACAGTTCCATGGGAAATAACATCAACAGGCAATTTAAATTAAAATGAGACACTATATTTTTACATTTAAAATGTACCATATACATATTTTTATGAATTATTTTTCTGTATTTTTGTGAAATGTTGCACATAGTTTTATATATTTTTTTAATCAATTGCTGTGTAGGACTGTGATAGGTAATATGCAGAAAATATTGGAAGTGGCAGTTGAGAAAATAAAATATTTTGCAAATATGTATTTTAAATAGCAATTTAAGAAATTTCTGAATTTTTATTTTTCAAATCTGTCTGCTTTAGGTAATGTTTTAATATCTATTATATGGCGACAAAATACTGAATTGAACATTATTAATCCTAAATACAATTGAATGAATGTGAATACAACGATGTAATTAAAATATTGACAAAAAAATTGGTGTTATGATGTATAAAAGACTGTATTAGAAATAAATATTTAACCTACTAACAGTCTAAAAAGCCACAATATTTGTGATATAATAGAATGCTCATCACATGTGTAGCTAATTTCTTTTGACAAGATGTAATTTTCAAAAAATAATTTAGCATCTCATTCCCACACTTTTTTGAAAATTACAACTTATATTGTAAATATTTTGTCTTGATATTTTTAATCTTAGGTTATACTGATTTTACCAGTAAAACAGATTTATAAAATGCACCTTGTTATTTTTTTATTAAAATGATTTTGTTTTATATTTATGTATTGACTGATTTTATTTCATTCTATAAATCTGTAATTAATTTAAAAAATTATATATTGTACATACTTTCTGTTTATATTAAAACAATGCATATATTACAAATAAATAAATATTATAAAATATATTTTCCCTTATGTAGTTTTCACTTTCTTGACATTTTCCATTTTTTCTAATTTTAATAGCAGAGTTTTCACTTGGGTCACTAGCAAGCTAATTGTTTTATCAATTTGTTCCAATCTTTCTTGTTGACTGAAAAAAAAGAAGGGTTATTTAATAAAGCAAAACTTTTTACATTTTTTTTTTCAATAAACTAATTCGGAAACAGGACTGTTTTGTTTCAGCCTTTTCAGAAGTTTACACCACACACCGATAAATATACAGAGCATTCGCCTCGTGTCCACTGAGCTTAGGCAACCAACATCGCAAGGCTGGTACTGATAACTGGAGTCGCCAATATTAATGATTCGTTTACAATAAACAGTGACAAACTGTTACGTCTACACTCGAGATAATGCGATCGCTGATTGGTAGAATAGAATCTCGTGAAAAATTACACCAATCACAGCCGGTGAAAGACAATGTTGTGTGTTAATGTAATCTTGATATTATTGTTTTAATACTTATTTTTTATTTAACCGAAATTTCAAACAAAATAATTGGTCCCACTGTTTCGTCACACAAGTAAAACTGTAAATGATAATTTCATCTGGCTGCCATTCCTTTTATACTCATTTTGAAAAACATATAGACCAAAAAGATACAGGGTGTTTTTAAAATTGAAATACTTAACAGGTGATTTCTTGACATTAATTAACACAATACAGAGTGATTTCGAAGTTTAGGCTTAAATTGTAACATGTAATCAAAAATATTTGTTATTATAATATCCGTGAAATAATCGTGGGAGTACAAGTCTATTCCTTACACTTACAGTGTTATTTTTGATCATTTTATTTTTGATAGCAAGTTTTTTGTTTTTGGTAAAACCTCTATAGTCTGTTTAGAAATGAAAGAGAGTAATAAAAGCTTATTATATATGCAAATCGTAAATAAATGTAGTACTGGTGCCTATATTCAATATTTTTAAATTATGTATTATACGTATAGATGAGGTGTACTTTTAAAAAACTGTGTGACTGGGTTGTACTAAATTGTAGCAGGTAGCTAAAATTTAATCCCCGACAATCCGTCTTTGTCTATGCCACTTCAATTTCTCGGTCCATTTCTCTTATAAGTAAACAATATAAAAAACAGCATTTCAAAACATGAGGCTACTTTAAGCATCGTAACCGGGTTAAGAGGGTTTTTAATAATTCAAATAAAATTATTCAATATTATTATCAAAATATTTATTTAAATTTAATGAATAGACTTTTATTCCACACAAAAATATATGTATTTTGAAAATTCAAATTATGGTGAGTAAATGTAGTGTTGTATAAATGTACAATAAAGAAAATAAAAAAGTAGGTATATTAAAATTCATCCTCTGAATATTCTGATGAATTATCTTCGTCTCCTACATTGATAACGATAGGTTCCACAGTAACGTCAATTAAATTATCGAGTTCCCACATTTTCTCCTCTTCTTTTTGTACATGATGTATATATCTTTGCCAGTTATCTGCAGTTACTGGTTCCAAGGAATTTTTTAACAAAATTTTCACGTCACTTAATTTAAACGTCGTATTGTTTCGCGCTACATCTCCTTTTAAAACCTGCGCCCAGACTAATTCGATTGGGTTAAGTTCACAGTGATAAGGTGGTAACCGTAAAACCGTTATTTGGCGATTTGTTGCCATTTCATCGATAACATATTTTTTCTGATCTTTATTAAGATTGACAAGTGTCAAAAGTTCCTTTTTCACCATATTTATTTCAAAAGAAATGTTTTTTCCGGATAACCATTGAATTATATCGGCTTTCCTCCAAGCAGTCGTAAGCGTCCGCTCGGTCTGCCGTGATTGTCGATTTTCCAATCCCTGTCATGTTGGAACACTTTTCCACGATGTCATCAACACTGTTGGTAGGATTTTGGTGTTTCAATGCATTAAATACATTTAATATATAATCTTCTCATTCTGAGACAGCGCACATCTTTTCACGCGTTTAGCAGGTACGTAATCTGATAAGCTCGACATTTTACCCAAACAATATTATATCCACTGGCACAATAGTCACTAAACATAAGTCGAATTTTACTCTACTGCACTAGCACGTCTTCGTATATTCAGCTCTAAGACTGGATTGATCTGTCACAATACACTGGCTCCTGCCCTATGATATATCCAGTAAAATATACTAATGTACACCCATTACCTGTTAGCATTAGTGTTGTTCGATAATTACCTGAAACGAAATATTACCACGCCCATGGCCGGTTCTTATCTCGGGGTTTTATTACTCTCTTTTATTTCCAAACAGACTATAGTAGCAATCATATATGCTTTAACAGGTAATGTAAAATGGTTTTGCAATCAAAGATGCATATTTCTTTGATAACCCTGGGAACACATTTTTAACAGCAAATATTTAGGTAGTCAATGAATTTGTATTTAAAATAATACTATTAACCTAAAACCTGGATTAAAGTCAATTAAGAGAGTTTTTCAAAACCTCAAAATTTTTTAATTTTTTATAAAGACAACGGTTACAATGGAACTCATATTTCAACTATAGTTCAACTATTCTGCCTTAAACTGCAATTTGTATGGTTCAGTTAGCGTTTATTTTTTTTGTCCTATATTTCTAATTTGAAATACCCCTGCTGTTTTGCCTTAAACTGCAACAACCAATCTCGACTACAAGTAGAACTGGTATCATTATTATCATTCAGGTGGTTACTAAATCTCTTTATCGTGGTCACCAATATAGTGAGGTGATAAATATTCACTCCATAATAATAATTAATTTATGGCTGTATCTTTGTCTGCTAAATCGCAACAGCCGTGCGATTAATCGACGTGATCTAGCTGATTAAGGCTGTTTATACAGGGTGTAAGAAGTTTGACTGCCATTACTTCAGCATGACATAGAGTAATCATAAATGAACAAGAAAGTTGTATATTACAGGGGCGTAAGATTAACAGTTTTCAAAATACAGCGAGTATTACTATTGGGGAGTTTCATCACAACGTGACAACAGCGCTTAACCTAATGCATACCATGTATGCACGCGGCAGACTTGTCCTACGGAAAAAATGTAAACTACTATTATTGCGGAACATTTAGTAAATTTCAAGACAGTTGCTTTCCAGTTTTTAAATAAATAAAATAAAATGAATCGATTTTGTATTACGAAGATAGTGTCGTGCTTAAATTTTAGCTCGAATTTTAGTAATTATGAATCTCTTAAAACAGAAATTAAAAGTACCCAAAGATTCACATCATCCAAATCATATTAAAAATTATTTAGTACTTACCAAAAAGCAAAATTCAGTAATTTTTAAATGCACAAGTATAAAACAAACTACAACATATGCTCAAAATGTCCACCATCATTTTAGATGCATGCACGACACCGTCGAATCCAGTTTTCGCGGACTTGCTGGAAAATACCCGGATTTATCCTTATTTGATGGGCAGCGGCAAAAATTCGTTCTCGCAAGTCTTCGATTGTTTCAACCTCGCTGGCATACACAAGTTCTTCATATGTCCTCATAATTAAAAATCCAATGGATTAGATCTGGTAAAACATTCTGCAAAAAATTCAAATATGCCTCTCCTGTCAATCTAACTGGTAAGATAAAAGGTCCTATTAGATTGTCTCCTAATATTCCACACCAAACATTTATCGAAAAAAGATGCTGGAAATTTGATGTCTGTTGTGTATATGTGGATTTTGCTCCGCCCAGTTATGAAAATTACGTGCATTAAAATGCCATTTCTAGTAAAGCATGCCTCATCCGTTGGTAGCCAAAATTCTTGAAATAAAATGGGGGTTGCGGTCAGTTTTAGTTAAAAACCATCTACAAAAACTTAACCGAGGGGCGAAATCTGCAGGTGGCAATTCTTGAACCCTCTGTAGTTGATACGCATATAGCAACTACTTTCGTAGTCTATATTCGTCTATATTAGTTCTATGGACAGTCCAGTGAGACACTCCGACTTCTCGAGCTATGCTTGGATTACTACGCCTGGAGTCTCTGTCAACAATGTCTAAAATTTGTTCTTCCGCAATGACATCGACGCCGACGGTAAATGCGTCGAGCTCTAGCAGAATTGCGGCGAGCCTCCCAAGCAAGGAGAAATACCTCAAAAAAGGAAATAGTGGTACGCAAGAACACTCCGATACGGTCGAATTCCAGATACCAACTGAATTGTGTATTGGTCGACAGCGTAGTACCTCGTGTTATTATAATCGCCGCGCTGTTGTCGTATTGCTCGATATGAATTATCGAATTTTAATTTTATTACAACGCTAATTATTTTTTAGAATTAAGCATATAGAAGTTCAAAAAAGTGATATACATTTTATTTTATGGTATTTTATGCACGCAGTTATATCAATATTCCTTAATTAATCGAACTTTTGTACATCAAGTTGAAGATTTTGATAACTATTTTCTCGGAAATGGTTGAGTTAGGACCCATGTCATATACTCAGTGTTAAAGTTTAAAAGTATTACTGACATTGATAGTTATCTATTACCGAGAAATAATTAACTGTAATGTTTTTGGTATTGCTTTATTAATATGCCGAGCACACTATATATTTTTTTTCTCTCTCTCTTTTTCTCGTTTGCTTTGCAAAGAGTATTGTGTTACTTTTTGTTAGCTGTAAGAAATCTGCTTTTTACCTTATTCTGTTATCTAGTATTAAGTATATTTTTTATATATGGTAAATTTTTCATTTAAATGTGCACATCTAAATATTTGGTCTCTGCTACCTAAATTTAATGTTCTGAAGAATTATATTTTAGAAAATAACTTTGATATTTTTGCATTGAGTGAGACGTGGCTAAATTCGTACATTCCTGATCAATCTTTGAAAATTGATGGCTATACTTTAATTCGTAAAGATAGGAATGGAAGGGGGGGAGGAGTAGCCTTTTATTTGAAGTTCTCATATTTATTTAGCATCATCGACACCAGCAATGATCTAGAACAGCTTTGGATTACTGTACCTATTAATAAAATTAATTACATATTTGGGGTCTGCTATAATCCGCCTCGAACAAATTCGAAACTTTTTACTGATAATTTAGAAGAATCTATATCTAATTGTATGCAATTTGGAGATAATATTA